CTAAATCTGTTAAATTACTAACCCAAACAATTCTTGGAATCCTTGAGGTCTAAGGTGAGCGTAAAAACAATGAGATCAACATGTTCCTCTTACCATGAGTGTCAAGGAAAAAACGAACCCGAAACCCCTCACAGTTGAATTACATGCAAATACCTTTAGTCACATTTTCATCCAGTAGACGATTTAAACAGAAAGCAAATATCGAAGAGATACCAATCCACGAACAACGAGAACAGAAAGATCTCCATGTTTGGCAACAAAAATCAAATACACATCTAAGGAGGTAAAAACTGTAAGAAAGCAAAAAAAAGTAAAATTTAAAAGTTTTCCAAATCGCAAAAGTCTAAAAAGAGTAAATTTTTGAAGAGTGCATAATCATTTATACATCATATGGTAAGTGTCCAACATGATTAAATCTTTTTTTGCAACTTGCTAAGAACACCCAGTATTGCTGATTGCTTCTCATGATGTTTAATGAAAATAAATTACTTGTTCAAAGATTCTGATTAATTATCTGTCTGCAACAGGCCATGCAGCAAACTTGAGCCATTCTTTAAAATGTCCGAAAATTTTCCATTATAATTCCGCTATTTATTATGCAAGAATGCAACCTTTAGGTCACGCTTTTTCCTTCTAAACATGGTAAAACGCCGACATCGCGAGTAATATTCTGCAGAGATGCACGAACCGCTGATGCACCTAGCAAAAACGCCCGGTTAGGTCTGGCGGACAATATAAAACGCTTTCGAACCATTTTACGATCTATTCGGAATCGCACTTTGAGAGGAGAATGCACGAACTTGTGCATTGTGTATGGCGAATGTGCTCTATCCGGACTTACGGTATACTTTATATGACCCAGGGCCGTAACCAAGTGAATCTTATTCAATTACCACTTTTATTTCTTGCACTAAAAACACCATAAAATTCTCTTTGAATGGAGTCTTATCATTTGATTTTGTGTTGCATTGCAAGATGCATTCTTTACTTTGCAAAATTTCGAAACTGTTGTTAAAAATTGGCATCAATTGCCTGGAAGGGACGAAACGATTACTTAAGAAATACAGAATATCCGAATAAAAACTATGACATTTGCAACTTGTTTCAGCACTTCTTTGCTACCCAGATTAACATACGTTCCATCATTAACTAATTATGTTTCTTAAATACCCAAAGCTAATAAGTGATCATTATTGTGCATTTAAGAATGGCACAATAACGGCTGTTCGCTATACGGAAGCTCAAACTGATCTATTTGAAAATATCTGATTGATATCGATACAACATTGCGCTTAAAAAATTAGTTTTTCATGTTCTTTCATAAATCATCGAAAACCTAAAGTTACTTCAATTGCAGAGTAATTCTTGAAATTGTCCTGAATGTCCCTTTAAAGCATATGTTCTTCCCCTTTATTATATTCTATCAATTTTTACCATTGCTCGGTACTGTAAATTAAATAATTAGAGCTTCTTTTGTTTCCTTTCAAGTGCAAACATAAAATATACGTACAGGTCAGCTTATTCCGTTTGAAAGTTTACATTTTAGCTTGAAAACCTTCTAATTTGAAGGTAACAATTAACAACATATGAAATGATTTTAGCAGCTGCAGCATTTCGAGTCTCAAGTACGCCGAAGACAATCAGTTGATACTCGCTTTCACCACGTAGATAGTTTCAACTACGTATTTTAATTACAGTGAAATACGGCATATTTTGATTTAATTTAACTATTTCTAAATTAAAAGCAAGTTTCACAGTTGTTAAGCGACAAAAAAATATACGTCAAACTAGTAAATATATCAGATTTAAATTGAGAAATAATTACTGGGCAATACAAAATTGTGACATTGTGATTAAGACAGCAAAAACCAGCAAATTAAAAATATGTCTTAAACACTTTCAAGGTTTATACTAGGTTTCTATAAATATCATACTGTTTACGTCCGCTTTCAAATATATTTTTGCAAAAAAAAAACCATGTAAATTTTATGTATATTTTCCATTTTTCTGCAATAGGTACATAGTAGCTTTTGCTTGTTGTATGAAACACCAACAATAAATCTCAAGTTTCCAAGTTATGTGCTTCTACAATAACTTTTTTGAGGAATAAAAAAAAGTTTTCGGTTAACCTACATTTATTTTTGCAGTGAAAAGTTCCAGTAATTTAAGGGCGATGTGAAAAGTTAGCTTAGGCCGTTCGCAATGTTTTGGTTTTGTTTCAGCTTTCACTTCTACCATGTTGCGTTATATTATAAGAAAACAAGAAAAGCAAGAAGCATTTCAGCTTCACATTTATAATATGCATAAATAAATTCCGACGTGCTTCGCTTCTTACCAGAGAAAGGGTTGAAAGCAGAAGCGTACAAAAGCCATTTTTGCAAAGCTTTATTAGAGGTAGAATATTTTATGTTGAGTTGTACGGGTTTTACCTTCATTGTTAAAATCTGGATAAATTTCATAGCAAACACAGCGTCGTAAAATAAGAAGCAAATCGGTTATCAATTTTTCTGCACAAACAGAAAATTTTGATAACACTCCTTTTAATTTTATAGGCGTTTCTTCTGAATATGGGTGTCAAAGTTGAAAATGCTTCTAAATTTGCTCAGGATTAAGTAATGTGATTAACTAATAAAATAAGTAGAGAAACATAAACAAAATAATTCAAAATATACCTATGGGTCAATGACATATCTATGTTTAAAATAACTTCTAAAAGTTTTGTTATAATACAGACTTTCGGTTGGTGAAATAAAGAATTTGTGAAAGAAGAATGGTGAATTTCGCATCAGCAGCGATTTGACGACGACTAACTAAAGAGGTTGCTCTCGCGATAAACAAAAAATATGCTTGCCTAAGCAATATGGCTTTGTTGTACACTGTGGCCCATAATATATATGGCTGAACTTTACAATTGAATAATATTAAAAGCATTTTGACTATAGTCTTATTCTAACACTTTCCAAATCCCGATAGTTCTTTAAGTAGAGTTTGGAAAAGTCTAATTTGATTAAATTAATGCAAAATATTAGTAAAATAATGTAAGAATACCATATTACAAAGATTCGATACAACGTTTTTATTACAAAATGAATATTCCAAAACATGCTAACAAAAGCCTCTAAAAATACTCTGTTATTACTATTTAATATGTCTAAATTGCTCTCCAGCTTGACACAGCATAAATAAAATTCTAATTTGGTTCTTTCATTTTAAATAGAAAGATGATATACCGGATCTCCAATGTCCAAATTATTAAATGTTGAAATCAGATCAACTGCTCTAACAAATATAGACAGTGCAATGTCTAGTCTTCGAGCCTGATAATTTTTATGACCGACACTGTTTGGCAAGTCTATTTTCCAGCCTTTATCTTGTAACAAAATCTTATTATTTACACATTTGTATATGTTTCACTCAAAATGTTTCATTATTCTTGGGCACATACGACGGCAGGTTAATTAAAAACTTAAAAGATTTGTGGAAACTTCAACAAGCTGAAACACGCAGTTCTGTGAAAATATTCTTTAAATGAAATTATTTTTCCTGGGAAAACTCCTAAATTAAATTCCCTACGAAATTTTAGCACATAATTGAAATGTCTGAAACACTCTGAAATTCTATAGTAGGAAACCCGTGTACGTAGTCAAAACATGCCCACGGAAGCACACATACAACTACTTAATATTTCAGATAATTACACGTATAAGAACGGTTAACTCAATCTAAAGTTCCATATGAAACAGACTCCCGACAGATATTATTTATCCATTTAAAAAGCCATTTATCAAATTAAGCTGAGCCCCCATAGGCAAGTTTCACGTATACGTTTATTCATATGCTCAGATGTTGCTTTAGAAAAATAAATATATTACAGGAACTAAAAGCTAAATTTGCAACTTCTGAGAAGAAAAACTATATATTTGATAAAAATATTGTGATGAGAATCGTTCAAACCAATAGAGCAGTTAGAGTGTTGATTATTAACAAAGTTTCGCAGATTTAATACAATTAAAATTCTTTAATTCAATTTTTTTCTCGAGCTTATGTTCACATTGAAAGTTGCTATGCATTGAGGCGCAACTTTTATAGATTTAAAATTGACAACACTGTTCCTGATACCAAAGTATGATTTATTGAACCATTTACGGTATTCCCTTCTCGATAAATTCTTCTGGCACCCTGAGGTGAACCATTAACTCCATTAACATAGCTGATAGATTTTGCAATACCAAAACAGGAATAATTTCTCAATATCCTTAATGATAGGTGTGAGTACATAATGAAAATTGAACTGTAACTTGAAGATATATATGCCTTGTTACACCTTAAAATAGCCTCAGGTCGTACTTAAGAAAAATAATTCCATGTATAAGCCATAAACCTATATGTAATAATACGTATGAAGCAATAACTAGGAGTTTTGATGATAATGGTTTTAGTATATGCATTTACACTAATCACATAGTTGACTGACTGGTTTGGTTGTACTGTATGGACATTATAGCAAAACCAAACCCTAGACATGCTACAGAATGGCGTTCTTTTTTAAATTAAGAGATTCTCAGTTTAGATCTACAGATTCGCAAAATCAGTCGTTAGGAACAGGAAAAGAAAACACGGGAGACAAAACGACAAGACAGATCGAAATTTGTAACATTTTCTAAAGAAGAGTGAATGTTTTTTATACACAAGTTATCAAGCTTAAATGAAGAAACCATTTGTCCTCGGCAAGAAAAGAATAATTACAAACTGTTCAACATAATACAGTTGAGACTGATAACGCTTATGAAGATGGAAACGCTAGATCTTTAGAACTCGAAATCTTTAGATTATTATAATACTGCTCGTAAAAGTGATACAATTTTGATATGGAAAAATGACTGACTTTCAGTTTGATGGTTGTACAAAGTTTGACAAAAAAAGCAGTTTTATATGAAAATACGTTTAGTATTTTAGATACTTAGCAAGAACACGGATAATACTTTTTAAGTCTGACTCACCAGCTTGTTTAAGTTTGTGCAGTGGCGTCCCTTCCTGAAACAGAAATAGTATAAATTATTACTTTATATTAATTGAAAACATAATTCTAAAACAAAAACAAATGCTTTTTTAAGGTTTCATTTTTCAAAATAAAATCCCAACAAGTCGTTATTGGTAATTTTATTGGGACATCAACTTGCTAAAATGCACTTAAAAAATTACTGCCTATAATACGCATTTATTGAAATAGGCTTAATCATAATAAACTAAATCTCATGGTCATTTATTTCACAAATTTATCAAGCTTATTTCGCATTCATAATATCAATTAATTTGTCCATATTTATGATGCCTTTTTACTATTTACATGAAACGCTTTCCACTAAATCAATCCACTCAATTTATTTGTGGCCACAAAAAATAACAGTTTGCAAACACGTATCCACGAGAGCAAATTTACAATGTACAAATATTAGAAGCAATTATTCAAATTTTGGACTGCAGATGAAATTATTCATTATTGATTTAAGGCTTCGGAAATAAATTACGCGAGGTTAAATTCTTTAGATATTCATTCAACTTTCTGTCTTTTTAAATCGCTTTTATTGCGCTTTGTTGATTCTTTACACAGTCGATTTGCATTCATGCCGTTTTACGTAAAATTAACCAGTAATTTTCATCACCTATCACTAGGCCGCAGATCTCACGATAAAGCTTGAATTTCAGAAGTTTATCAAATACATATAACTAATGGGAGTTAGAACTACTATTAAACTTCCAACACTGCGAAGATCCAACATTTCCAACACTGTTTTTATACAATAAATTTTTGTTCAAACTATGAATTCTTAATTCTATGACAAAGCCCTGTTTTTATCTAGGGCATTCCTACATCTACATTGCACAATTTAACCCTGAAATAATTAACTTCTGTTTATACTAAATGCAATTTAATCTATCTATTATCTAAAGGCCCTATACCCTTTATTAGCCCCAACTGAAGTTTGCTACTAAATAAATTCGGCGAGGCCACTGGCAAGCTAAAAAATAACAAATGGTTTCGACATGTTTTCGCAAAAGTAAATTTACAATGTCCAAATATTAAACTCCAATATTCCACAGAACCAGCGGAATTCCCCAATGAGAACAAAATTAATGCCATGTTGTTTTATTCTCAAGCAAACAAATGACTCCATATAAAGAACTTTCATTCAATTAATTGCAGTTATTCACTTCACTGCGTCTAGAATGCCCTACTGATTTAAACTGTTCTGTTAAAGTTAAGCTAACAATATGTACCACTAACTAGTTTTTTTGAGGAAGACTTGAGGGAGAGACATTAAACTGTCACATTGCGAGCAAATGGAAATCATTGTATAATTGAAATCTAGTGTTGTTAATTATTAGTTTCTTTTATTCTTATATAGTTTATCAATCTATAAATTTTAGTACATTTTTATTTGGGTCACTATTGAATATATTGTTTTGAAAAGCACATAGCAGTGGTCTTTGGAATAATATATAGGGTTTTCGAATAGAAAAATAAAACATTTCTGATAATTTGATCTAATTTATTAATATCACCATTTTCAACAGATATGAGGCCACTAATTTACTGATTTAACCGATATTATATTGATAAGAATAAAAAGTAAGCAATTTCGTAGAGTTGATTGTTGATTCGATCCACCATGATTTGGTAGATGGTGAGGGTTTTGGTTAAATTGTGTACCGAGCGTTTTTTAACTTATTTCTAATATAGACTGTTATTTTAAAGTATTTTAAATATAATTCCAAATCAAAATCAATTCCTGGGCTTCAGTCATTTATTGTCTATTTATCAATTAAAATACGTTTCGGTGTTTTCCACCATCATCAGTTTTGGTAGGCACATATTTTCAAAAATATATGCCAAGGCCTAAAGTAGCAACAACGCTACACATAGAAACTGATGATGGTGGAAAACACCGAAACGTATTTTAATTGATAAATAGACAATAAATGACTGAAGCCCA